ACCCACGTTAATGTCTGGCACTCCCCCGCTTTCTGCCCTACTCTCAATCCAAGCCCTCTGAAGTCAACAGATCATCTCACTTCCTCTCATTCTTCCACTCCTGGGTTTTCATGTGTTTGGGGAAAAACAACAAATTTTTCTTTTCACAAAAAATGCTGAAGAGCATTTTAGACACGGTAGAGACCCCTTTTCACCGGAAGACAGGAAAGTGACACCCCTTGAGCCTGGCAGGATTTTCTGTGAGTGTTTATTAAACAAGTTCAAGTTTCTCTCCACACCTACAGAAATAGAAACATCCCCCAATTCTCACCACTGCAATGGGTGGGCCAAATAAGGAGAGGGGCTCTTCGCTTACTTTATAGTTCAGGGAGGAGAGGCTTGGATTGTAAATGTGTAACATTAGTGAGGAGATAGGGTTACAAAAGGAGAGGATGATTTTAATCCCATGAAAGAAACCAGAGCATGACACATAAGGACCCAGTGTAGAGGAATATGTAAACCTAGGCTCATCCTGCCGGATACCTTGTTCCTCCTTCTTTCCAAATTTGACCCCACTGTTTTAAATGGCTGCTGGGACAGCACAGAGGCTGTGATTTTCACCTAGGAAGATCTACAACTTAAGGAGGTGGTGGGCAGGGAATAAACACACAGTGAATTACCCCCAGTGTCCTGATTTAAACAAACTGCAAGGAGGTAGTAAAAACAAATCGAACAGGGAGTGTGTTCCAACTGCAACTGCAAAGCAGTCCTCAAGATTTTTAAGATGTCAGCCATCCCCCCTCACTGCCCACACCGTGTACAACGTGATCAGTCCCCTGCCAAGAAATTGTGGCTTTGATACAGGTATACCCCTGCACCACTGGAACCCACCCAAAGCCTGGCCGCAGGGGCAGCACTCAGAAACCACATCACAGACAGAGCGCTAGAGAGCTAACCATTTCCCAAAGGGACAACATTATAATTGGGTGATGAGTTCTTCATAGGAATTGACAAAATGTAGATTCTAGGAAATAAACAAAGATATGCCCCACGAGCAGCACCTTATCTATCTCCTCAATCATTTAAAATTGTTAAAGTCTTTTAAAATGGACAAACATGTACTGTGCCTGTAATACTCCACCAGGGACCAACTGGGGTCTTGGGTGGGGGTACACACCTTTTGAATGAAGGAGGCAGTGGAACATTTAAATACAAATAAAATAGAATAACAAACCTAGAGTGCACATTTCCTCGTAATCAGTGGTTTTCAAACTTTTCGGTTCCCCTATTCCTTTATGTTTTTTAAAAAATGATTGGAGATCTCAAAGAGCTGTTGTTTATGTGGTTATAACTACTGGTGGTTACTGCATAGAATTTTTAAGAAAACATTTTTTTATTAATTCATCTAAAAATAACAATAAATCTATTTGTTTGATGTTAACATAAATATAGTTTATAGTTTCCAAAATGAGAAATAGTTTTCAAAACAAAACAAATAGTGAGAAGGGCATTGTTTTACATTTTTGCAAAACCCTTTAATGTGTGGCTTAGTAGAAGACAGCTAGATTCTCATATCTTCTGCATTCAATCTGTTTTGATATCATGTGTCTGCTTCTGGAAAACTCCCATGTACACTCGTGAGAGAATGAGAGTGAAAAAGTCAAATATTGTCTTAGTATTAGCACGAAAGCAGTTTTGATCTCATGGGCATCCTGGAAGGTCTTGGAGACCTCCAGGGGTCTGCAGCTCATACCGTTAGAACCACTGCTCTAGATCAATAGGCCAGCTAAAATACATATCAAGCATTTGCTTGGCTTACAAGGCATTTACATGGCTTGCCTTCTTAGTATGTGGAGCAGGCAGAATTTATAAGATTGGCCCATTTCCTCCTCCCTGACGGACATACTCTTGTATAATTTTGGGAACATGTGGATATAATGGGAGAGTCACTTGCAAGATCATAGGTTATGTATATGGCACAGTTGACTTTAAGAATGGGAGACTATTCTGGATGGACCTAACCTAATCAAGTGAACCCTTAAACGGGATGGGCTCTTCCTGAAGACTAGATTGAAGTGTGAGATTTCATTTAATTGAACACCAGCGAAATTCTCCATTGCTGGCTTTGAAAGTGGAGGGGGCCACGTGGCATGGAATGCAGGCGGCCTCCAGCATCTGAGACTGGCCCTTAGCTGATAGTCAGCAAGGAAACGGGGACCTCAGTCCTACAACCACAAGGAACTGATTTCAGCCAATAACCTAAATGAGCTTTAAAGGATGTTTTCCTCAGAGCCTTCAGAAAGGAATGCAGCCTGGACACCCTGAGTGACACCCTGATTCAGCCTGGATACCCTGAGCAGAGAACCTAGTCAAGCCATACCTGAACTTCAGATCTACAGACCTGTGAGGTAATGAACGAGTGTTGTTTTAAGCTGCTAAATTTGTGGTAATTTGTTACACAGCAATAGAAAACTAATACAGCACATATTATTTTAAATTTATATTTATTTATTTATTTATTTTAAAGATTTTTTTTAATTGGGCAAACAGGGGAGGGAACAGCATTGGGGAATTGGGGAAGGGGAACAGACAAGTTGCTGTCCTTTTTTGTTCTTCAGTCTAGTTGTGGAGGACGTCGCTTCACTGGCCCATGTTGGTATTATCATTGCACTCTTCCCGGGTGAGGCAGATCGGTCACCGGCCATTGGACAGCTGCTCACAGTGGCTCACGGCAGCTCACAGCGGCTGCTGGCCGCTCATGCTGGCTGCCAGTCGCTCACGCTGGCTGCCAGCCACACATGTTAGCTTATGGCAGCCCACTGCAGACCCACTGCAGCCTATGCTGTCGCTGGTGACTCATGGCAGCCCAGCTCCAGATCGAGTTGTTTTCACCATCTTAGCTGTAAAGGGCGCAGTGTCACTGGCCCATGTGGGATCCGAACCAGTGGCCCTGCTGCTCAGAGCTTGCACTCCTAAGTCAACTCTTAACCAACGAGCCACTCGGCCGGCCCTTAAATTTATTTTTATTTTTAAATTACACAAATAATCATAAATACATTCTCCTTGTAAAAAATAAAAACATCATTGAGAGATTAAAGTTCCCTTTGTCCCCTCACCCATTGTAGCCAATCTTGAGCCTCTCCCTATCCCTTTTCCCAGGGGTATAAATATCCCCTTTGTTGGGTATGAATCCGTCCATCCAGATCTTTTTCTATGCATTTATGTGCATTTATATGTACCAACAGAAAATATATAGTGCTGCTCTGGTTTATGTAGTTTTCTTATTTTAACTGTAGAACACTATTGGGATTAACACTATAGCTGGCCCAGGTCTCCTAAAAATAAAACAACAGAAGTCTAAATCGATGTTCTAGCGCAGTTTCCCTATGTACTATGGATGCATTTGAACCACTCTTGCTCTTAGATGTAAGCATAAATAGAAATGTATTTTAGAGATTGTTGTTTTGAATGGTGAGGATGGGGTTCTACCAGCTGTGAAGCATTTAGAGTCAGGGCTGACCTCATGGTTCTAGTTTTTGACCTCTTTCTCTCAGGTTATTCACAGCTAGGCTAGGATGAACCTGCTCAATTACGGACTCAATTCTAAGCCGCCAGGGAAACATTGGTGGCTCTTTTGTCCCAAAGTTACCCTTAATGGCCATCTTGTCCCTGCCTTCATCCACCAACTGGAAAATCAAGGAACTTCAGAAGATCTTTCGAAGAATTGCTGGGTCTCCCTTGACTTAAAGAACAACGAGTAGCTGTGATCTACTCAGAAACAAATCTATGGCATACACCTGTATTACCTTCAGGAGACAGGATGAAATCTCCTTTGACCGTGGATCACAGCGCGCATGTGGGTAGGGTGGTTTTGCCCAAGGAATAACACCCCAACTTAGTTTCTCATAAAACTGTCAAAAGCAAGCTTTCCAAGGTGGCTTTAATGATAGGCTCTCAGAAAGAAGCTCCTTCAACCAAGTTTGTCCTCCAAACTCAGAGCGGATGGGCCACAGCCTCTGTGTAGAAAGTATACACATTCTGCATTTTTGTCATGAAGGAGACATTAGTAGTGGCCAGAGGCAATGTCCTTCCTGCTATGCTAAGGTCACCTCACCTTGTGCTCCCCTGACATCACAGTAGCCCTGACATTTTCTAACAGCACAGACATGCCCCTTCGTTCTTTGGCCTTTTGTGATGTTGAGTTTGCCAGGGAGGCTCTGGCTGCCCGCTTGTTCTGGGTGGGCAGGAAACCTCACCAGTTCATAAGTCCTTGGAGAGAGTGTGCCCATTAACAGGAGTTACACTTACCACCTCCTTGAGAAGGCTGTACCCACCCACCCACACCTCCCATCCATGGATTCTCCATATCTCCTGACTATTCAGGTAGGACCATCCCACATCCATGAAAGCACAGGTGTGTGGGTATGGCGCTGTGCCCAGTGGAGGCCACAGCCTTTGGAAAAAGAATCCATGCACGGAACTGCAGCTGGGTCCCCTCTGTACTTTAGTGTCTATGTGAGCATCTGTTTCTGTTCCCTTTTCTGAGGAAATCTTCAAGTGAATACAATTCCCAAGATTCACCCAAGGGGAGAAACGTGCTTTGGGGAAGTTACAGACGGGGGTTTGAGTGAGTCTTGAAACTGGTCCAGGGTCACTGAGTACAGGCTTCTAAAGGTGACTTAGACTGGAAATACTCCCAACTTTCCTTCCATGTAGTCCATTTGCCTTAGGTGAGGAGGGAGGGAGAACGCTGCCCTAAAAGCAGGCGGCCAACGTTGGGTCGTCTGTGATATACTCGGTCGGCTAAGCTAAAAGGGGGGTGAGGGCCCTCCTATTTCACCACGCTGGAGGTTTTCAGAGTCGGGTTTTTGTGACGAGACCGGGGTAATGGGGACCCAGGGAGGAATACGAGTCAGAGCAGCCAGGAGGGCGGCCCCGGCGGGACGAGGGCGGAGCGGGGCCGCTGCGCTGACGGCCTCGGCAGAAAGGGGGCGGCCGCGCCCATTTCCTCCGCTCCGCCTCGGCGGGAGGGGTCCACATCGGCGAGCGGCTCCCCGGTGGCGGCTGCGGCTCCCAGACCGTGCCGAGCTGTGACCAGACGGCTCCGGCCGAGCCTGCGGCGGCCGCCAGCCCCGCACACGCTCCGGAGCCCGCTGCGCTGTTCGCGTTCCGCCGGCCGGTATGGACGCGGCGCTGAAGCGGAGCCGCTCGGAGGAGCCGGTTGAGCTCCTGCAGTCGGCCCGGGACTTGGAGGAAGAGGAGGAAGAGGGGATGGAGCAGGAGCTGGAGGAGGAAGAAGAGGTGGATCCCCGGATTCAGGTAGGGCGCGCGAGGGGCGCCCCGGACCCCGGATCCGCGAGGGCCGCCGCGGATGTCGGCGTCTACACTGACACCCGCCTCGCAGCCCCAGTGCCTGCGGTCCGGGGGGGGGGGTGGCGACGGAGGTCTGGGGGCGAGCAGAGAGGGTCTGAATACTCTTGTTTCCCTGGGTTCATCGGGAGGCTGCAGTGCCCTAGTGGATGCGGCCTGAATATATTGCGGGGATTCCCCCCGCAGAGCCCGGGCAGAATCTGGGGATCGCTGCAGCGTGCCCAGCGGTTGGGCGGATGTGCAACAAAGGGAAAAAGGGGGCGGGGGCGCCACGCGGGTATCCGGGGTGCCCCAGCCAAGCTCGCGACGCCGCGGGCATTGCACGTCCTCCTGTCCCTGGGAGGAAGGGTCGGCTGCTGGGTGGGCGTTGTCCGCCCCTGCAGCGTGGGCTGGCACTGGTGCCCTGGGTTCCGAGTCCTCACCTGGTGGAGGTGTCCGGCCTGAGCCATCTTCCCTCTGCTTTGATTGTGACCAAACTGAAGGTTTTTTGTTTTTTGGTTTTTTTTGTCATTACTGATTCAACCCTCGACTTGGCCTCAAATGATTTAAAACCCAGCTTTTCCTTGTTTATGAGGTCGGGTGTGAACAGAAATCAGGAACAACTGATGCGCAAAGCTGACGCGGGGAGAAGGCGAGGGCATTGGCCTGGCCCTCTCTCTGCACCTCCATTTCTAGGGGAGATGATTAAAAAACAATGTCCAAGCCGAGATCTAGGGTTGACAGCTTAACCTCTTCACCCTCTAAGTAAAAAGCACAACAAATCCAAGACCCGTTTTTCTAACCTTCCCATAAATCATACATATATACACACATATATGTATATATTATATATAGTATATGTGTATTTGTGTGTGTGTATGTATATATGTACTGCTTTTAAGTGTGCTTTCAAATCCTGGAGCCCTAATTGGTTTTTCAGTGCACAGATCAATTAAAAGCTCATTTAATACAGCGGTTGCAGTTTAAATTAATTGTTTTGGCAGATTAGCAAGATGAAGATCAGGTGGGGAAATCTTTGCATTAGAAATTTTATTTATTAAATTAATCAGTTTGGACTATTATCTTGTTTTGTTGGTACAGGAATTCTGTTAAACAATATCCTTTGTTTGCAGAGTAAAATGAGTTAACTTCATGCTGTGTACTTTTTATAAAATTTTAGTTTGTAAATGTGTATTTAAAGGTAGGTTTTTTTTTTAAGCTAGTGTTTTTGTGTGTTTTTAAAAAAACACCTAGGGAGATTGAATAATTGGCAGTTTGAAAAGATTTTCATCTGTACAGAAAAATACTCCACCACCAATGAGTTAATGCCAGTATTCTGTTCTTGATTTAAATCATTTCACTGGGTTTGTACTTTTGGCTTGGCTTTGTTTATTTTCTTGTATTTTCTTCAAAGTTCTTTCTGTGAGGCAGAAGGTTCTATTTTGATTCAGCCTTTAAACCATTTGTAACAGGTGGGTTTACCTGAAGGCACACATCCGGATTAAATATTTGACCTTCTAAGAAAAGATAAATTCCTGTGACCTTATGATATTTTCAAAAGGGACACCATCAAGAAAAAGGTTTCAGAAATGCTGACACGCATTTGCTCTTCTAGCCAAGGCTCAACTATTTTTCTTGAGAATTAATACTGACACTTCCCTCTTCCCAAATTGTGCTGGAGTGATTTTGCAGGTCGTGGGCTGAGTCATATTGGAAACAAAAGACAAATCCCTTAAATCTTTTTTCTGCCTCTTTTCTTTGTTAGGGAGAACTGGAGAAGTTAAATCAATCCACGGATGACATCAACAGACGGGAGACTGAACTTGAGGTACACAAGGCCGGATGCCTGTTCTTGGTGAACTGGTGTCTGTCCTGCTGACACCAGAATGGTTAATTTTGTTTTAATAGTTGGAGGGTGATTGCTGGTGTCCCCTCCTCCTGTTGAGCAACAGCCTGCTGTCTGACAGAATAAAATACACCACTGAGCCCAGCTTGTGGGTGGAACACATGTGGATCCAATTTCACATGTTGTTTTTCATTATGGAAGCTCTGTGGGGCCAAAACCAAGGGCTTCATACATGCCTAAGTCCTAAAGTTAACGTGTCTGTGGCAAAGCTGAAAGAAGTGAGGTGAAAATGAGCTGAACTCTTTAATGGAGAAGAATAAATGAGGTCACAAAAATCTCTTCGATATTTTAGGGCAGTTCCTCACATTGTACTTGGAAACATTGTGTGTTTGCTCAGACTTAAAACCTTTTTGTTGACTCTCCTGCTCTAATAATTCCCCTTCTACTTCCCTGCTCATTTCTTTATTGTCTGCTTGTGTGTAGAATATAATTATCTTAATGGTAAGGAAAAGCTGTTTAGACTGGGAAGGGCTTTCCTGCTGGGAAGAGTCTTGGGAGACAAAACTTGATTTGAATTTCATGAGCATCTTCCAACCTGAGTGTAAACAGATTAGTATTCTTCACAGCTATCAATTAGTCCCCATTCCTTTTCAGCAGTGGTTGGTTTTTACCATCCATCAGCAAACTGGAACAACCTCCGCATCTATCCGAGAGCCTGTGAATGACTGTCAGAGAGCTGAAGGGATGCAGGGAGCTGTTGGGAGGACCTGTTTCTGTAGCAGGAGAAATAGCAGGGAAGGTCAGCGGCAAGGGCAGGAAACATCTGGTCCCTAAGAGTGAGGATGCAGGGGATAGGAATGTAGCCTACCAGCAATACACTGGCAACCTTGATTTCCGACCGCATGCCATGCGGAGGTCTGGGAGGTCCCAAACCCTGATGTGAGAGTGAGGATTAAAAGCTTGCTTTCTGAGCTGTGTGTGAAGGGTTATCGTCAACCCCTCTATTCCGATTGTAGGTATCTATGAACACTGGCTGCCCTTTTTCCCCAAGTGGAGTAAAATCTGCGTGTTTATTTAAATTTTTTTCACTTATTAGGAGTCCAGTGTCTTCGTTGGGCAATTGAAATCCCTTGGAATCTCGGATCTATAATACCTTAAACAACAACAACAACAAAACCCCCATCATTTTTAAAGGGATTTAGAGTTTACAGTGTTTTTCAAGCTTTATCTCATTCTAGCCTGTCAAAACAACTTAGAGCTGTGCTGTCCAGTATGGCAGCCTCTTGGCCACATTTGGCTATTTTAATTTAAATTAAATTAATTAAAATTAAATTTGAATTAAATTAATTAAGATTTAAAATTCAGTTCATCAGTCATGGTAGCTATGTTTTAAGAGCTCAATAGCTACTGTATTGGACAGTGCAGAGAACACATCTGTTACTGTAGAAAGTCCTGGATAGCACAGGCCTGGAAAGTAGGAAAGGCTGGGACTACCTGTTCTCCAGGTAAGGACACGTAGGCACAGCATCCTCACGGTTCAGTGACATGGCAGAGCCAGATCATTTTCCAGATCCCCTCCAGCTCTCATATTCTGCCATTCCAAGTATTAAGACAACTTAGAAATAGTCTTTTTTTTTTTTAAAGGACTGATTGATTTATTCATTCAACAAATATTTGTATGCCTACTCTCAGCCAGCCACTGTTCTGGTTGCTCTTACTTACTTTCTGAGGGTAAAATGGTTTCATCTGTTAAACTCTTTTTAGCCCTGATTTCCGAATCCCTTTTCTGAATACACCTAGGTATTTGTGTGTCACAGGAAGCCACAGGACAGGTGTTTCCTGCCTTGCTCTGGAGAGTACTTGGCAGTAGCAAAGAGAAGTGATCAGAGCTGGCCTGTGTTGCTGGCTGACCTTTTCATGGTTATTATAACCAAGGTGGACTCAGAACTATAGAACTATAACGCAAGCTATGTGCCATAAGTAACTAAAAGTTCTCTAGTAGCCACAGTAAAGTAAAAAGAAACAGCTGAAATGAATTTAAATCTATTTTCATTTAACCTAGAATGTCCCAGATAGTATCATTTTAACATGGACTCTATCTAAAAGTCATTGAGATATTTTACAGCTATTTTTATACAAAGTCTTCAAACTCTTGTGCATATTTTACACCAAGAGCCCATCTCGGTTTGGGCCGGCCACTCAGTAGCTGCATGTGGACCAGGCATCCCGGGTCTTATAGGTATTTCCTGTCATACTCACCAAGGGGCAGGGAGATTTCCCCTTCAGTGCCTGCTGTCTGGGTGCTTGTCATGTTGCTGGGGCTGGAGGAGAGGATGGGGTCTTATGTCTGTGGTGGGCTGTGTTCCTTCAGGGAAGCCCTGGGCACCAACCCTGTGTCAGGCACTCTGCGGGCCACTGCAGACATATAGGTGAACAAGATAAACACGGGTCTTACCCTCGGGAGGTTTACATTTTGGTGGGGGGTGAGGAGTGGAGAGATGGCTGATAATTACTGATGTAATAACTACAATAAAAGAATGATGTGACAGAGGCTCTGAGAGAGGCGTCACCTGTAGACACCTGAGCAGAAGCCTGCAGAATGAGAGAGTCCATGTGCGAAGAACAGCAGATGGTGTGAGCCGTGGGGGTGTTGGAGGGGAGTGTGCCAAATGATGTGGGACAGGAAACAGCCATGTTAATATTCGGTTCATTCTCGTTATTCCTGGTAGTTGTTTTCTGTCAAGTCCCTGTGAAGATGGAGTTAGTGAGTGCTGAACTATTGCTCCCGGGGCGGGGCGGAGGGGAGAGGTTAGGTTCCTGCAAGCCTCGGGTCACATTTTTGTCAGCTGATCAATACATACCCTTGTTTTATGGGTCTTTCTGTTTCAAGACACCTTATTTGCTATGTATTATGAATTCATTAATGTTGAACTCACAGGCAGCTGCACAATGGCTCGAGCCTGAATGAAGCCTACTTAACACGTTTGACCCCCGTGAGGCCCATCGCAGCCTTTTAGGGCTTAGGAACACTAGATAGCACTTGAGCACTGGGCTTGGCGGCCACTTTAAACTGCAGAATCACCAAAAAAACGCACAGAAGTGCAAAAACCGCGGCACTCAATGGGCCCTGTAAAGGACACTTGGTTACCGTATGAGAAACAAGAAGGCAGAGTGTCTCTTTACTTGACCACGGCTGGGAATGTGCCCACTGGGCGATTCCAAGTTCTGGCACTCAGTTCATGTCCACAAGTGACCGTAGAAGTGCCATGAGTATTGATTTTTGAGTTATGAATAAATTTTAGTGAGTATGGAAATAACGAGGTTTGACTGATAATCTCAGAGCCTCTAAAGGAAGGCCTTTTGCTATCTACTTTTCCTTTCCCTTTGCTTTTTGATTATGATGTGGAGTGCCCAGCACCCCTCCTGACTCTGACTAAAATGAATTGGTGACCAGGTTTGTGGTGGCTGCTACTTTGCCCTTAGAACTTGGCACAGTTGTCTCTGGGCAGCTGTAGGCCGAGGTGCAGGCCTGGATTCGCTGTTAAGCATCCCATTTCGTGTTTCGGCAGTGTTTCGGCTGTTTAAATTGGAGATTACCAAGAGGCCTCTGGATGCCAGCCACCTGTATGTCGTCAGTTGGATACCTGCCCCTTCCTGCAACCTCGCTTTGCCTCTGACCTTGTTCGAGCAGTGCCATAACCCCTTTGCACTCTGATTTATATCAAGAGGGCTGGCTTTTGCAAACTGTTGAAGGGAGTAACCTTTTAACCAGAGAGGCCTTTGGCTATAAGCCTGATGTTTCAAGTTAAGAAAGTAAATGTATTTTCCCACAGGCACATCCTTGAGTATTTATTAGCACCTGCTGTGTGCTCAGGACAGTTTAAGATGATGATGAGTGAGCAGTGAAAAGAATGGACAGAACTACCTGTCCTCCTGATGCTTACATTGTGGAGAGAGAAGAAATGCAATAAACAGTTAAAATACACAGGAGGTTACATGGCGATATGTGCTAAGGAGAAAAACAAGGCAGGAAGGGGCCATGGCAGTGTGGGTGTTTGGGGGTAAGGGGAGGAATGCAGTGTTACATAGAGTGGGTGGAGCTTGTCTGGAGAGAGAGAGCCTCCAGGCCATGCGGGGGAACAGCATTACAGCCAGAGGGAACAGCCAGTGCTAAGTTGAGAGCAGGCCTGGCCTGGCTAAGGACCAGCAAGGGGGGACCAGTGTGCTGGGGGATGGGGTGAGCGATGGACAGAGGAGAGACAGAGAAATGGGCCATTCCAGGTGTAACAGCTTTGCCAGGTGAGGCAATGCAAGGAAGTGTGTTGATGTAATTTTACAATACGTATTATGTAGAGCTGTCTTTTTTCAAATATTTGTTAAAACAAGATGCAGTACAGAAAATGCCTAAATCTCACTGTAATCCAGATTCGCAATATTCTGTTCCCATTATTATTATTTTAACCATGATGTGTAGTGTTTTCTTTATTTCCCTTTTTTGCTCGGAAGGTGCCCTGAAATGGTCAGAGAGAGGGGGAGGAAGGACACAATCAGACCTAGTTACCTACAGATAGCTTTTCGGGCTCTGAGTAATGAAAAGCTGCCTTTTTCAGCCTGCCCTTCCCCAGGGAGACCAAGCAGTTAGTTGTAAAAGTTTGTGCTCTTTCCCTCACTGCTTGGGTGGGATGTTTTCTGGGCCGACTTGTTAGGGCGGTTTGAAAAAGCATTGGAGTCTGGACATCTGTGATCCCCCTGCACCCAGAATCTGCCTTTTCCTCCTTCCAGAAACCAGCAAATATTTTCTCTTAAAAAGAAATAGTTTTGAGCTTGGAAACTTGGGGGTGGGAGTGAATTGGAAGCAGTCTGGCCTCTCTCTAATTAATGATTGGCACAAGTCAGGGGAAGAGGGAAATTCTTTTCTGAGAAGATAGTGTTGTCATATCTTAGCACTTTGTCCTTTAAAACGTGTGTGTGTGTGTGTGTGT